GGATAGATGTCACAGTTGAGGGTTCTAGTTCTTTGGACTTAAGGAATAACCCAGTCTGTCAGGTTTATGCTTACATGTGTTCACTTAGGAAAAAAAATTAGGATGCCATTTACCTGCTTAGGTAAATGATGGCTTCTTTAGTGAAGGGAAGAGGTGGTTGAGTTTGCTCTGAGGTGGGCAATAGTATCATATGTGTGATTACTTGGTTTGGGGTTTTTTGTTCTAGTATGTATTTGACAAAGTCTGTCTCCATGGTAAACGAAGGTCAGTTATACTTTCTTCATTCTGCCAAACTGCACATTGTGGGATATTTCCTCTTGTGTATTGTGGAATATACAGTAAAAGCCACATGGAATTAATTTTGGTTCTGAAAACTGGAATCAAAATGGCATTTTCATAATTCCTCACCTCGTTCCTTATTATCTCTTTTATTGTTTAGAAAGCTATTTTCAGATGAACAGACGGATAAAGAAAACACTGGGATGTTACTAACAGCAAACACAGTTTTCCTTTCAGCAATGCATTTAATTTCTTGTGTCACTTTATTTTTCAAGTTCAACACTATTCTGCTTGGCTTTTATGTAGGTTCATTTTCCTTTGCCTTGCCACTGAGGAGGGAGAGGAAGAAGTAATGATCTGCTGTCATAAGATCACTTCTTCAACCAGCTTCACTCAGTGCAGCACTCTCTTAAAAAAGTTTGCAAGAGTTCTATGGGAGTGTTTGGTCAAGTTTTTAAGGATTTCCTATTTTAAGAAAAACTAATGAAAATGTCTATTTCAAAATGAAAATTTTATTTTTCAATGTTAAAGGGAAGTAGTGAGATAGGATGACTTTTTTGTCATAGCCCTGAAACAAACTGGAAAATAGGAAGCTGTTTGAATTAGATCCATAGTTTCATCAAACAGTTTTAAGTATCTCAAAAAACACCCAGCCAAACAAACAAAAAACCCCCAAACGAAATGTTAAAAAACTTTGCCATATGATTTCCAAGTGGAAAAGAGCAGCCTGTGAAAAAACAACACTTTGAAATGGCAAAAGGAGAGGGTAGAGCTACACCTAGAAAAGGTTGAAACATGCCATTTGGTATGTCCTGACTTGTTTAAAACTGGACACTTTTGGAAGGTTGGCAGGGCATATATCGAAAGAAGTAACTCTGTTGGTTATTCTGCTTGGTCTTGACAGTTGTGTTTACCATGGGGTGATTTACATGAAGAAGGTAGGAAATGTGTTTGTTGCTGGATGCTGAATTGTTGGGGCAACGTTCCAAGGAAGGCTGAATTTTTCTGACAGCTTTGCTACCAGTGAGGAGCTGTTCTGCTTATTCTGCTTCTGACATAGGCTTCAGTTGCCCTGATATCCGTGCCTGTCTTATCTCTTGAGCCTGTTTAGCTGTAACTGAATTAGATTATAAACTCTTGGGGGTTTTTTCTGGATAGTTGTTGTTTGGGGTTTTTTTGGGGGGGGGCTGGATTTTTTTTTTTTTTTAAGATCAGCTTAGGGACTTTGGCTGGACAAACATTGAAGTTGGTATGCAGAAGAGGTGGGACTGCCTGACTGGCAGTGGGAGAGCATGGACTGCTGCTTTCAGTAGCACTGAGCTATTACATGAGCCCATCTGTAAAACCTCTCCCTTAAAGATTAACTTGCTGATAGGAAGAAAAAAGGGAGTGAACTGTGTAAATAAAGAATTTTACTCTTCAATATAAATGTTGTCAAAGTTGAGTAGGAAGAAAGAGTTCACTCTCATTGAAAAATGATGCCAAACCCAAAGGAGTGTCTTAGATTTTCAAATTCTCTCAACTTTAACTGGAACTGGAAACAAACATTCAGTAACATTGGTGGTACAGTCATGCTGATAAATGCTAGACTTTCCAACACTGAAATTTAAAAGAAAAATCAAAACACTGAAGCAGATGCTTGAGCTTAATATAAAAGCTGCATCTTTGTATGGTGTAATTTTGCCTCCAATTAGCAATTTAAAGAGAACTGAAGCCCTTCAGACTTGCCTAGATGTCTCTCAATCTGGCTTTTTAAATTTACCACTGTAACCCAAAAGTAGATGCTGAAATCCAAGAAGTTACGCTACAATCTTACAGCTGTAAGAATGAAGATGAGGGAAGAAAGAAAAAGGAAAGCTTACAGGATTAAACCATCCTAAATTTCTGGTATATGGGAGTTGTGCACATCTGTAAATATTAATTGTGATTGAATAGGCACTTAAAATCTCAGAGTGCATGGTGAAAGTTAGGCATCTGCAACTGACTTCAGCTTGATAAATAGATGGTTTATGGTAGCTAATGCATTCTGCAGTATCTGAACTGTGTCTATTAGTTACCTGGTTAGCTATATACTCTTATAAATCGAATTTATAGGCATTTTGGTTTAGCATGGAATTTGTGTCTGTTCTAGTTTCAGTGCAATGTAATTACAGTAGCTTAATTTTAATGAAAGTAGACAGTATCTTTTATTCTTCATTTCCATTATGTCATTTGTTGAAATGGACATATAATAGTAAACAAGCTATTAATATTCTCATGCTTTTGCAGCCATAACCTTTGGAGACCCTTCAAAAAAACAGTGGGAAGGGTTATATAACATGCACTTAAAGGGTTAAGGAGGAAAAAAAAAAAAAGTGGGCTGTTGCCAAGTTAGTATGAGATGAAATCCTAGTCCATGTCATTTTAAGTTAATTTGCTTTGTCAGTTGCTTTCAGCTATGAATTATTGTGAAAGTAGGCTACCCAAGTTAGAGAAGTAGGCTACCCTAGTTCCCATGCAGTGTATTTCTTGCAGCATAGGGAAGTGCTTGGCCGTAACATTAACTGATAAAGAACTGATTAGTCCATGGTGTACTGAAATTAAACCTCTTGCACCAGTCAATTGACTACATAGGGTTTTTGTACAGGGCTTCTGGATTGTTATTGTTTGATCTCCAAAACAAGATGACTTGTTTATTTTGAAATACGCTATTTCTCTCTATTCAGTAGAAATAAATACTTTTACTTGGGTCATTTGCTAAGCTTTTAGAAATGAGAATTGATGAATTCTTGTAGCTTACAACACAAAAAATTATTGAATACCTAAACCCTGAAATGCTAGCTTTTAGTTCAGCTACATGCATAGCTAAAAGCAGTGTTATGTGGTTGCTTTGTTGGCTGTTAAATATAGGCTTATGCCCTGTTAGACTCCTACTTTTGGTGTATTTTTAATCAGAAAGTTTAATTTATTGAATTTACTGAGTCTCTCAATTGTAATTTATCATTGAACTTAAAAGCTAAAAATTGCCTTGATGCTGGAATATTTGTTATGCAAAGATCCTGTATGGCTGGCATTAGGGAGTAGGATAGCACCTTCATGCTGAATTATCGCTGGCAATTACAGCCGTGCTGTAATATGCCTTGTGAGTGAATTAATGTTACAAACCTACACTGTTTAAGGAGTGCTGCCGTGCATTTCAGATAAAAATATTTTTGTTTATGACTTTCGTCTTAATGTCTAAGAGTTGTGTTAGTTTTAGACATTTGTCTTGAGTCCACATTTGGCCATAAGCATTATGCAGCTCTGTTGATGCAAAACTAGAGGTAGGTAGCAGGGAAAAGTTGGACTGATGAGTTTTGATGAGAAAGATTAGTATGAGAAGGGTATACATTTGTTCACATTTCTTAAGTGATTTTAAATTAACTTGTATGTATGAGCATTCCCTCTGAAGTTAATGCTTGTCTGCTGAATTCAGTACAAATAAGATCTCCTCTACACCAAGTAGGTACATGGGAGTAGTCACACAAACCGGCTTTTCACAGGGACTGTTGCCTCTTCAGAGTGAGTCATATAGCACAGAGTAAAGAGGTGAAATCTCTTTTGGTGTCTTCTCTCTTACTCTGTGTCTCTGCCAATGCATTCTTACAGTGATGTCTGATTCAGCAAATGCTGTTAATAGAAGTTCTGTTTAAACTTTATTGGGATTTATGGATTTATAAGCATAAATTTGAAGGTGTCCTTAACTGGTTATGGATAGGGAATGTTTGTGGACTTTGAGCCAGAAATGTCAGATTATTTTTTTTTTTTTAAGAAAGCAACAGGGAGTTTTTATTTTTACAGATTTTCATACCTGTTGTATTGCACATCTGCTGAGTACCAGCTTTTCACCTCCTGTTGCCTCTTCTGGTTTCTGCTTTCTTCTTTTCAGCATTTTCAAGTTCAAATTCTTGATCTCAAGATTCTTAATTAGAATTCTGTATTGTGATGTGTCTGATGAGCCAAGTTGTAGAAGGCAGTTAGAAACAGCAAAAGCAAAATGATCGCATCTGCCTCTTGATACATTGTCGTGGACCTTTTTCTGTCTCTTCAGTGGTTTTAGTTAAATGTTTGATAAAATGATATGTCACAAGTTATTCGAAGGTATGACTGTTTTGTGGACCAACACTGCTGAGGAACAGCAATTTCTGTTGCTTTTCCTAATGTTTATCTTTGGCTTAAACACCCCCCCCCCC